GGCCTTCTTTTCCATGCTGCCTGGCCTTCTTTCCCACGCTGCGGACCTTCTCGGCAAGGTTTGCCGTAGCAGGTGTAACTATGACCGCCGGAGCGGCGTTATCTTCCATAGCTGTAGCGCGCACTGTAGATTGCAACACTGGCGTCGCTTGTCAGGCAGCAGCCTCTCCCTGGGTGTCGCTAGCATTAGCTTTGCACTGATAAGCTGGGCGCTTCGCGAAGCATAGCTGGCAAACGCGCACGAAAAGTGGCACTTATCTTTCTTTTTGCAGCCAGCCTTGCTGTTGTAGCGGAAGCATGTGGCTTATCATCGGGAGTCCTGGAGGACCCCTTAGCGTTAGCCGTAGCTTTGCCCACCGCCTTTGCCGCCTTTCCCGCGGCCACGGCCTCTCCCCCTATTAGCATTGCCCCAGTTGCCCGGCGGGGGGGGGGAAGGGCCGCTTAGCGTACAACGCTAGCGGCGTGATGAAGTGTCGCTCCTTGACGCTAGCATCTTTCCAGGCCTTTTTGAGGGCGGCTCCTGGCTGCATGCCCCCCTGGGTCACTAGCTTGCAGGCAAACTTGCGGATAGCATGTTCGTAGCTGAGGACCAGAGCCCACGGAGGTATCGTAGCGCCAGCTGATTCTGCTGCGTGTAGGCCGTAGCAGTAGTCACCGAGCAGGTACTCTTTGCGCATCTCGAATAGCTCGGCATCCACATCCTTTATTCGTGTCGCTGAATGTGTTTTAGCTTTAGCACGCGGATAGCATTGCACATAACTGTCAGCCTGAGGCGTAGCTGTTCTGGTCCCGATGGCATAGCTACGGCTACTGACGAGGAGCCCCTCCGGACCGATGTCTGTCCTTTGCTACAAGTATCCCAGACGGGTAGCAGATCGTCTGGGTCCACGTCCTCGCTGCTAACTATCTCGCTGAGGGCTTCTGCTGTGAACTCGCCACCCTCTAGCTCGCTAAGCTTTTTCTCCACGTACTCTTTGAGGGCACGTGTTTATCTTCTGGCTCTCCATGGGCCTTAGCAAAGGCCTGTCGCATAGCGAGGTAATCGGACATGGGGATTGGCTTGGTCCAATCCCTCATCTCGTTGTTAGCTTCGGCCTTGGCCTGGGCCTTGATGGACTCTTGCCTCGTTCCAGGCCACCACGTAGCTAGCTATCTGTGCTCGACTGGACAGCGAAGTAGCTGGGTGACTTAAGGACTTCCTTCAAGTCCGTCTCCGTTGTAACAAATGCGGAGAACTTAGCTAGCGTGTTGACACTGGCCTCAAACAAGGTAGCTTGGGAAGCCGGCTTGCTCTCGCAGGTTGTTAGCCCCCAGAGCTAGCTTTTCCTCTTCTGTCAAGGCTGCCATGAGCGCCTAGCCCTCCAGGCCTAGCGCACACCAAAGTAGGGAAGTGTGGGCACAACAAAATTTTGTGGTTGAGCCACTGGCTAGCCACGAAAAAGATATGAAGCTACCAGGGGACTGGATACCCCAAGCCCGAGCCCCCTGAAAGCCCCTCTGCGTCTCTCGCTCTGACATGTGACTGCAGCAAGACAAGGTAGCAATAAATAGCCAGGTTGACCTGTACACCTCTTTGCCTCCCGGGAGAAAGTAGCTCGGAAAAACTCTAGCTGGAGAAGGATAGCTCGCCCTTATCCTTGGGAACGGTCTCGTTCTTCCTCGCCACCTAGCATGGCAAGGTTGTGTCCGCATCTTCTGCGCCAGGATCTTGCGTCGCTCCTCGTTATCGGCTTTCGATTGGCGCAACTTCTTCACTTCCGCTATGCGCTGGCGCGCCTGGCACTGAATCCCGTAGGCCTCGTGCTCAAGATGCGCCAGCTCGGGAACGGTCTCGGTCTCGTCCAACGAGTCGTCGCCCACCTGCTCGTCGTAGATGTCGTCCGCCTCCGCGACCAGGGTGCTTCGTGGCCCTCGTCCAACAAACGTCCAACGTAGAAGGCTTCTCCCATATCGTGATGTAACTCTCCATGGACTCGCCGGGGGCACGGTTGAGCTGCATGAGTCAGCGGCGTTGCTCGTCCACGCCATGGCGATCCACCTGCTTGATGATCGGGGACTTCTCGAGCTCCGTACAAATGACTGCTTTGCCGTCGGGGCCAATGACATCCTTGATCTCCAAATGCTTGACGAGCTGCGCCGCACAATCCTTTAGCTGGAGCATCGTGCGGGGGGGAGGCGAATCAACTCAACTGGCAACTGACTGCCCTTTCCTCCGATCCAGACCTCCACGCTGCGTTTCCACTCCAGGTAGCTCTCCTCCGGCTTGGCCCTGAAAATGGGCGGGTGCGTCGCGCTCACCCTTCCAGGGCTTTTCTTCCCGGCAAGCTCGCCAGTGGCCTCCCCAGCCGCTGCGCCATCCGCTGCCGCCATGGTCGCCGACGCGCCTGTCCTGGTAGAAGACGCCATTTTCCAAGGAGCTGCCCTTGGGTCCCCAACACTGTCTCGCACTTAACCTCCAGCTCCAATTGTCGGGGCCGTCGGTGTCCAGATGGGCTCCAGTTCTCATCTGCAGCCAGGGTCTCCCGATGAAGTCCTTGCTCGTCCACGCAGTTCGCTGCCATCAGTCACACCATTCCATGGGCACATCGGTGTCCGTCTCACCTTGGTGGCGCGGCCCCAAGAACTGCTCGAAAAGTCAGCGGCTCCCAAAAATTCTTGACGCTCACCTTACCAAGTCACTGGGCTCAGCATTGACTGCTCTCATGACGAGTCTTCTCCGCGCCCAGCCTCACTGAAAAAACCATCATAGTACGACCTTGCCATCCTCTCAAAGTGGTGCGGCAGAGCACGCCCAAGCCGCCTCCTTCTCAACACACAGTCCACGAAATCCCACGGCTTTCGTTCCAATGGCTTGGCCGAGCCGAAAACACCCACAAGCAACAGCTTCGAACCGCCCCTGGATCGTCACCGGCTCCACTGCCAGCAGAAACCGGCAGCCCACAGCAAAACAAGACACAGGGCCTGCAATCCCCTTTTTCCACCACACCACCTTGAGCCTTCAGCGGCTTCCGGCGGTGAGCTGGGTGTGTTTGCACAGTAATGTGCACCAAGACAGTGTCAAATTGAATTCAAAATGGGAACCTGGTCACAAGATCCTAACCATCCACGTTAAAATTGTGGAAACTTTTTCTTTCACCATGGATGTGTTTGGTTTACTCCGTGTTGTGCTTATGTTTGGAAGGCTTTCAAAAAGACAGTGCTGGATATGCTGGATCAAGCAGATACGAAGCACCGCAATGATCAGAAATGCAGAATTCCAAATCATGAAGTCCACCATACCGGGTTATGTTCAAAAAACTTGGACCAGGCTAGAAATGCATGAAAATTTATGAATGTTCCGATTCTGGCAATGCTTGAGCAGGACTTTGTTTGGCGAGGTTGAGGGCTACGGAACAGTGCACAGTTTTAAAAAACGTCTATGGTTGCAGACCCCACCATAAACGCAAACAAAAAACACAAATTTCTGCACTTTGTTGAGTCTTCCTCCTTAAGTTGCGGCAAGCGGGTAAGTTGGGCGAGGGGCATGGGCTAGTCATGTGGTTGGGGCGAGTGGGACGAGTGGGGCGATGAGACAAGCGGGGTAGGAGAGGCGATTGCAATGGAAACCTTGACGCACACGCTGAATCCGTTGGAAGATTGTGCGTTCATTATGCTTGCCAACTCCAAGTTCCAATTCGGAAAGGACAAGCAGCAACAACAGCAGCAACAACAACAACAATGAAAAGAAATAATGTGCAAATATTCGCAACCTCGCATGGCTCAACTGTTGGGAACACGTAGTGCAAAGAACATGCAGGGGAAGCAAGGTAGATCATGGGGCGGCTGAACATGACTTCAAGTTCTTCGATGGCCATGATGAAGCCGCTGAAGAGTCGTTGCTTGCCTCAGGTCATTGACCTGATGCTGGATCTCCTACGGCTGACCTCAACGCCTGCAGGCCAGAAAAAACGAATTGCCAAAATCGAAGACAGCAAAGCTATCACTGATGGGAAAGTTGTCAAACAACGTTTCTGGTGGCGCACTTTGAATGCTCTTGATCTCTCACTGCCACTCATGCGCACGTTGCACCCAAGTCATTTGAAATGCTTGTGGGCGACATCCCACAAGCAACATCTGACAGTAGTAGCAAGAATTCCTTGCCCAACTGACGAAGCACTTTCATGTATGAGCCCATAGGGGCTTGTACAAGCATGAGACAGCCCTGCCGTTAACAGTGGCATGGTCATGCCACAACGAGAATATACAATCAGCACGAGATCTATGTCCAGGCTTCGCAAGCTGCAGTTATTGTCAACAGCGGTGTGTCTCTTTGCAAGCCGAAGCTCACCAAAACGAGACACTCAGGTTGCGCTCTATGATGTGGTGTGTGGGCAGTGTCCTCACCTGAATATCTGCATAATAACAACAGAATAGCGTCAAAGTCCTTGCCGCATGGCATGCCTGGTTCTGGCTAGCTTACATCTCGCGAAGGATCCTGTGCAAAAAACTTTTGTGCATGCTGTGTGCTCTGCATGCCGCAGGAGTGCTTCTTGCCCAGGCACTCCATGGCGCTGAATTGTTGCATCCTGCGTGTATTCCTGCTTCGTCTGGCAGGTGCGTGACACAGCGGCCAATTAAGCTCCCAAGGCTGGTCCCTCCAGGGCTATCTACCAACTAGCGAAAAGAGAGCTTGCTGTTTACAGCATATGTGCATCGACAATGCGCCATGCGCAGCTTGTGCACAAGAATCCCACTAGAACGCACAGGAAAAGTGCAGCTGATGATCTACTGGATTGTGGTAGAACAATGCATATGACAGCCTATGAAAGCATCATGTGCCTCAACTACGCACCGCCAAACCCACACCACACGCAGCAAGACTCGCATTCCAAAAGATGTGGCATTCCAAAAAATGCAGCTGCTGTTGCTGCGGCTGCTGCTGCAGCAGCACTTTGTGCTGTATATTCTCTGGCTATTGTTCTTGCGATTCTGCGGTGGCAGTTCTGTTGCCGATTGGTCGGCCTTCTGGGCTTCTGCAAAAAGGTCTGCATCCTTTGCGCGAAGATCTTCGGCCTCCTGCAGAATGTACAAGAACAGTCGAACAATAACCTCACCAGCCAGTCAACAGGCCTTAAGGTCATTTTCATCAGACGCAACTGCATTTGCCAATTCCTGAGTTGATTTAGCCGAAACACTGCTGCTGGTAAACAAAAATTAATCCACCCGGCTTGCCTCAATCTTGGTGCTCAACGATTCCAACCTCCCAACATCTCTACAAACGCGCTCGCAACAAGACACAGTAAATCGGCCGGGGTTGTAACTCCAGCTGAGCTTGTGAAAGATCTGCATCATGTTTCTCTTGCGCAGCCTTTGCAGTCAGGGGGAACATGTCCAACGTACGCAATAGCCAATGCCCACCTTCAGGCCATCGTGACTGTGACGCAACTCACGGGACCTGCTTGAGATGTTCGGATGGTGATCCAACAAACTTCTGCTGCAGCAACCTTAGATTTATACTAGCAGAGTGTAAAGTAAGTCAATGTATAACAAAAACCAACGGAACAAGGAAGGTTTAGAGGAGTTTTCTTGGAACATTAGAATTGGATGAATTGGATGCATACATCTGCGTGCAGCGACAGCCTCAGCGACAGCAGCAGATACAGCAGCAACTTGCGTGGCCTGGTGGTGCAGAACCTTTTTTCGTCCGCAAAGACCTGAGACAGCACAGGCACTGCATTAAACAAACAAACCGCACCATGTACAACCTGCAGCTAAGACCTAGAAGCATGGTTTGCGGCAATGTCTGTGTCTAGGACGCGTCTACGTGTGGGGTGACTACCAAAAAACAATAGCGATCAAAAATCTGGGGAATTGTTGGCAACTGCTATCAATAAGAAGTATTCAACCTTGATAAAGTGCCAGTACTACGAGCTGCACTATTCGGAAGCCATCCGAGCTGGAAATTAATGTTTTGCTCATCTTTTTTGCAACCTCTGCGGAATCCCTTCCTGTTGAAAACATCATGTTTTTTTCTGTTTTTTGGGGTTGCTCACTGCAACTTACAGCACTTGAAGGCTATCACAAGCGGCCAAATACACTGCAAAGGCAGCAACAGCATTAATAACACAGCATTTGCAGATCTTGTGTGAATCATACCATACGTGGTTTTTCAAATGCTATGATCACGATACAAAAAGCGGGCGGGTTTGCAGGGCGCGCCCCCAACTTGTGAAAACATCACACTACATGATTTTAAAAATTGCTGATATTGCACAGTACAGCACTGGAATTCCATCACTGGCTGCCACACACACTGAAAGTCAAGGAGTACGGAGTATTGTTAACAACACCGCATTTGGAGAAGGCAGACGGTTGGAAAATTGATGAGCCATGTTTTGCCTGTTTCTTTCAGGTGCTACGATCAAATTGTAGCAAGGCTCCATCCCTAAACTTTTTTCGGGCGCAAACCCTCATTTTGAAAACATCATGTTTCACTGATTTTGGGATTGTGGGCAATGCAACTTAGAGTGAACTTGAAAGCTATCACAAGCTGCCAAAAACACAGCACATGCAAATTGCGCGTGGCTTGAACTTGTTGCGAACCATACCGTACCTGGTTCTTTCCAATTCCATGATCATGTTATGACAAGCGGAAGGTTTGGGCAAACGCCCCCGGAAATTTGAAAACAACATCATTACATGATTTTAGAAACACCATGTACAACTTGCAGACACACTCGATTCATGAGCAGAGCCGGTAGTGCGATGGTTTTCTCCGTAGACGTGAGACACCGATCTCAAGTAATCGGGCACAAGCTCAGGCTTCCAAGGGACTTACAAACATCCCCTTACGCGGCTTGCGGCGAAATACAAATTTCCCATAACTGCATCAGAAAATGTAAAGGGGGAGCCCTCGCGAATACATCTATTAAAATCAGCAAAACATTGAAGGAATTAAATGCCCGGAAAAAGAACTTAAACTAGGGAAGGGTGACGAAAAGAAATTGCCTCCAAGAAACGCCTGGTTGAACACTCAAATCCTCTTAGCGGGCTCCTCAGCTATTCTGGCTGTGAACCAAAATGGGAGCAGATATGTCATATATCAATGATCAATCTAGCTCAAGAGTTGCAATGATTGTAGTGCACCAGGCCTTACTTAAGCACTACACAAGAAAACATTGTGTACAACTTGCAGACACACTCGCTTCAGGAGCAGAGCCCACAGTACGTTGGTTTTCTCCTCAGACGCAGACGCGAGGCACCGATCTCAGGTGCCAGGCTTCGAAAGGGCTTACATCCACGGAATTCTAGCTCACTCCCAATACACCGGGGTAATGTGATGCTCAACACAGGAACTGAAAGATGCGTGCACGGGTGCGCATGTTGAGTGACCACAGGAAAGTCTGGAACGACTGAGCTGCGGAGGCCAAACCGCAACAGGTGGATCGATTGGGCGACTGCATCAAGTTCTTCACTGTCAGATCTTCGCTGCGCTGTCTATGACGAAGTAGACTCCCGTCGTGTCTTTGAAAGCCTCCGGAAAAGTCATGACTGCCTGGAACACCATGAGGAGTTCCAGTTGGGTTATTTTGGTGTTTTCGCTGTCCTCAAGGATCGAAGACAGCATCGTCGATGGGCACCACAGCCCCCAGCCGCTTCATACGCAGCGTAACAAACAGGAAAACTCCAGAACCAACACGGTATCCGGCATCACTGGCAACAAGGACACGCTGGCCAACCCAACTTGAGGGCGTACAACGACCAGCCTCTCGGGACGCATGGCTAGCTCGACGGAGCTAATTGGTGATGGATATGTCCCCGGAGGAATATTGCCTGTCTTTGATAAAGTTGAGCCCAGCTCGAGCCACACGTCCGAAGACCCACGGATCCAGGAACGTGAGACATCCGAAGATTTTGGATGCCTTTCTTTGTCGCAGAGTCCTGAACGGCTGCTCGGATAATGTCTTCAATCTTGTCCACCAAGCGCTGGCAAACCCGAACTCGGATTTACCTGTGGAAAAAAAAACAAACGGCTTAAAAGGTCATGGAGGAGGTCAAGAAAATCTCCACTGATTGCCCGAGCTTGGCGTCTATCAGGGACAGGGGGGAAGCCAAAACAAAGATTCACTGACCATCTCAAAGGCCCACGCTGCCAAGAGTGCCCAGTCCTGTTGCATAAGATCGTCAAAGTAGCTACATATACGGTTTTAGGGTTTTTTTTTTTTTAACACGGTTTTAGGGTTTAGGGTTTTGGGTTTTGGGTTTGGGGTGGGCCCTAGCTACATATATGGGTTGTAGGGTTTAGGGTGGGCCCTAAAGTAGTCGGATGGAAACCCCCTTCTCGGCCCTAAGTAAATACTTTATAGCTACATTGGACCCTTGGGCTTGGGGTGACTGTGGAGTCCGGAACCTAAGGCTGACCATGATGCAGACAAAGCGGCGGACAACTGCCTGCATGAGCATGGGGAGGCAGTTGAAGGCAGACACGCAGACACAGCAAGAGGGAGGCCGGAGTTCATCCCTCGCTATCTGCGACACCCTGGCTGTCCCCTGGTGGTCGAAATCAGCGACCACAGTTGCCCAGGACTTGTCACGCAACATGGTAATCTTCCTGTAGGCATGGGGCAAGTCCTCACCTTAGGTGTGGATGTCGGTCGCATGGCCACTGAAAAGGGGCAACACGCTTGGCCTCCATTGCGGCAGCCACGGCCTGAACATGTAGGCACGGTTGATATGCTGAGCAAAACTGTATATAATCGGTTACAGTCAATTCTCAACTCATGCTGCCTGCAGGAAACGGCGTCGTCTATGCACCCTTTCTTGCCAGCGGACTGGGCAGTAACGAACCATTGAGAACCTCTGAATGAGAAGGGCGACCCTTGTCCAGGAGTTCCGACTGGGCTAACAACAACCCAGCTGCTCGTCCGTGAAGCCAACATCCAAAGTGACTTGAGCCAAGACTCTCAGTAAAACAAGGGATGCGGAAGCAAGGGCGCGTGCATCCTCAACACCGTGCCTATAGGTTTGCACTTGTCCTTG